ATCTATCTATCTATCTATCTATCTATCTATCTATCTATCTATCTATCTATCTATCTATCTGGGTTTCCTAAGCACATTTTTTACCACTGATCTGCCCTATCCCCTGCTATAATTAACATGCTATCATAAGACAGGAAAACAGAGTCTTAAAAAGAAGATTCAGCAAAATTTCAAAGATCACAAAGTTGTTTAACTGGCAGAGCCACGGTTAAAATTTAGATCCATCTGATCCCAAAGACTCTAAGTGTGTGTTAAAGTTGTAGGATACATGATCACACTGTGAATCCCAAGTTTGCATTTGAGTGAACTTAATAAAATCAACTTTGGGTCAGGAGACAGAGTCAGCAATTAGTTGACAGAAAATAGACAGAGAGACAGAAGGAAAGCAGAAAAAGGAGAGATGCACAGGAAGTAGGAGGGAGGAACTTTAAATGCGGCAGTCCTTTTTGGAGCAACAGAAAAGAGACTTTCTCTTTCTGAGATGCTGGTGAAGAAGGAAGGTCATCTAGTATCTGTTCAACTTCTCTGAGCTAGCAGGTTTTCAACCCAGCCTCCAACTCCTGTGTGGTAAATAGAACAATAAAGATTTAGTTAAATAGTACATCTGGAGGCTGGAGAAATGGCTCAGAGGTTAAGAGCACTGACTGCTCTTCCAGAAGTTCTGAGTTCAGTTCCCAGTACTCACACACATCTACAATGACATCTGATGCCCTCTTCTGGCATGTAAACAAAGAGATAGATAGAACACTATATACATAATAAAAAAATAAATCTTTAAATAACTCTATTTGGTGGCAGTGGTGAGAGACAGATCTAGCAGGACATGGCTGCCTGAGAAGTGGGCCAGTGACTGGCACAGTTACTGGCTGAGGCAGTAGTAGATTCAGGTGTAGCCTCTACGCCAGTGGGAAAACAACATTTTGGAACTCCAATGTGTGGCACGACCACATAAATTGAGAATTCACATTAGTCGGCCACTACTCGTAGGAACTCTGGAAAGTGGACTTATACTTGGAAATTGCAGGAGGTGCTTGAGCCCACCACCAAACTGAGAGGTCAGCAGATTTGGTGAGACATCTGGGATGTCATGAGGGAGAGAGTTGAGTTTTATATATATATATATCATTCCCATGTTAAGGATGGGAAATATCACAATGCAGAGTGCTAGAACCCTGTATAGTGCTACCATGGATGGCTTGAAAATGATAATAGTAACTGAGGGGATAAAAGACTTAGCTGGGATTGACATAATGCCAATTATAATTATCATCAGTCTGGTAATTCATATCTCATCCTTAATAGCCACAGTGGTTTCTTTTGCCAAATATAAAATGTGTGGTCTGATAATTGTGCCAAATATAAAAAGTTGACAGATAAGATATAAGTTTTAGAAAGACTTGTATATAAAGATTAAAAAAATTGACTGATAAGCTGTCAGCCTTAGGCCAGGTGGTGGTGGCACATACCTTTAGTTCCAGCACTTAGGAGGCATAAGAAAGTGGATTTCAGTGAGTTCAAGGCCTGACTGGTCTACAAAGTGAGTTCCAGGACTGTTAGAACTGTTACTCAGAGAGTCTCAAAACAAAGCAACAACAACAAAAACAATAAAGAAACAAGCCTTATACAGATCTACTAATGAAAACAAGAAAAATACTCAAGACACAGACAGGAATTTAGACAAGAACCCACCGTGCCACTGCATCATGAAACTGAAGTGGGGTGTCCCATGATTATTAGAAAACCTGTCTTAGTTTATCCAGTTACTAAACAACAACCAGGAGACAACAGACACCCTAAGGTTATCAGAAAGTTAATGGAATCCTATAGACATATTCTATTTGAGGAGATTTGAAGCAGTTGTTTCATATGGTAAGCATTCAACCTATGTAAAGCAGACATTAAATTCATGAGCAACTCAGAACAGAAATATCCCACAAGACTGGGAAGAATTGGTCACAGAAATATTGAAAGCTGGTCCTCAGTTACAATGGATAACATGGTGGCAAGAGGAAGCCAGAGTCATAGAACAATGAAATAGGGCTAGAGGCATTAATAATTCCCAAGACCAGCTTCTAGGTGAGCACCAATATGCCAAGTTGCAACAGTTGGATTTGATGCAGACAACTAGCTGCGATTTGTTGCAGACAGTTTGAATTGGATGATCACACCTTGGCCCTTAGCAGCTTTGAGTGCTCGGGACAAGGTTGAAGAATCAGAAAAAAAAAAAATCACTTTGGGATTTCATTGCTGTAAAGAGACACCATGACCATGGCAACTCTTATAAAGAAAACATTTAATTAAGGCGATGGCTTACACTTTCTGAAGTTCAACCTATTATCACCATGGCAGAGAACACAGCAGCGTAGAGGAAGATGCAGTGCTGGAGCTAAGAGTACTAGATATTGCAGGTAAAAGGAAATCAACTGAGATACTGGGTGGTACCCAGAGCATTGAAATCGTCAAAGCACAGCAAACCTCCACAGTGACTCAGTTTCTCCAATAGGTCATACCCACTCCAACAAAGTCACACCTCTTAATACTGACAATCCCTATGAGATTATGGGAGCCAATTACAATCAATCTACATACTTGGCAACTAGCCAAGGAAAGTATAAGGACATGTACCCTGTCCCAACAGTTAGTTTTGTTTCTGTCCTTCCAGGACAAAAGCATCTAACTAAGGAATCTATAGATTTCTGGACAAATGAAATATCTGAAGAGGAGGAATCATGAAGAGAAAATATCCCAAGAAAAAGAGGAAATTGGTCTAATGGTATAGACCACCTCCATCAGGGTAGAATTTCATCAATCTTCCCAAACATAGTCTCTTCTTAATCCCAATTCAATTAAAAATCAAAGCTGATTTTGCAGTTGGAGCATGGCTTTGTCCTTCTCTAAACCCAAGCATGCTTGTTAAAGGAAAATTGAAAATCTCTGTTTCATGTTTGAAGAGCTGCCTAGTATGGGACAGAAGAAAAACAAAATTAAGGGACTATTTTATTGTCATTAACCCTTTGGTTTTATTTTGACTCTTTGAAACTTTTCCTAAGATATAAATACTATCTCAAAATCTATAAGATTTTTATGTATACATAAACTTTGTCAGGATATTAGTAGTCATGTAGACTACTAATTAATTCTCAAAATAAACTTTATCCAACTTCTTGTATGTGTTTTAGGGTTTGAGTCTGAAGTAGGTAATTAGGAACTAAGCTTGTGTGCCCCAGATGTCCTTGATAGATTCTGGTTGTCTAACATTTCAGAGATCTCTTGTATATAGCATTTAAAATGTTTTAAGTTTTCTGCAGTAAACCATGACCATTCGTAACAAGAACCTTTGAGGTCTCCAAAAAGATGAAGGGTCCTGCAATGACAAATCTACCTGGACTGTGGTAATGCCATCAAGCTAACAAACACTACCCAGAGATCAGTTTTGGCGTACGAACTGTTAGGACAACGTCGGAGCAGGTAGTTAAGATGGTCCAGGCTCACAGACTCCTCTAGGCAGGACTTCTGTTAAGCCCCACACTTTCCCACAGAGACTAGACAACAAAGGATACAGCTAGCTCTCCCAGGACTTGGTCATTATCACAATTTTCTCTGGGGCCTCTAAAGATGCTGCTGCCCTCAGACAAAAGGAAGTAATTTGAAGAAAATGACAACCACATTACCAAGAAGTGGTGTGGATAGTTTTTGGTCATTCGGTGGGTTTTGGATGTTTGCTGTCATTTATGGGAGCTGGTTGTAAGTTTTTATTGGTCATGGATGGGGAAGAAATAAAACAAAGGTTAGATTAAGGGATTTATTTTTTATCATTTGTCTATCCTTTCTCTCCTACCTAATGTTGAAAAAGGGGGATGGGGAATGAAAAGGGGGGGAT